TTTATGAGTTAAAGAGCTCATCTCTGTTTTTATGAGCTGAATAGCTCATCATTGTTTTATGAGTTGAAGAACTCATCTTAGTTTTATGATCTGAATAGCTCATCTTAGTTTTATGAGTTGAAGAACTCATCTTGTAGTAGTAGTAGTAGTAACGATTGAATTGAACTGAAATTTCTTATTTATTGTAGTGAACTTTTACAAGGGTACAATTCTAAGTTATTGAAATTCTTTTTTCAATTGGTCAGCATTCCAAGATTGAGGGAAAATTCTTCTTTATTCAGTTCATAACTCATAATTTCATGGTCTGATCACTCTGGATATGATGTACGGACCTTCCCAATTGGGCCCAAGCTTCCTATAAGTGGGGTTATTTTTGACTGGGAAAATTTTCTTGAGGACTAGATCTCCTACTTTGAAACTCCTGTGTCTGACCCTTATGTTGTAATATCTCGCTATCTTTCTCTGCTAGTCCAAGATGCTTTGTAAGGCTCTGTCCCTTTTTTCATCTAAGAGGTCGAGATTGACTAGGATTGACTCATCGTTTTGCTTGGGGTTGATAAACTCTGTCTTGGGAGATGTGATGCCTATTTCCATAGGGGTTACTGCTTCAGTGCCATAAGCTAGGGTGAAAGGTGTTTCTTGAGTGGTCGATCTGACAGTGGTTTTGTAAGCCCATAGCACTTTTGGCAGATGTTCCACCCATCGACCTTTTAAGGTTTTGAGTTTAGTCTTCAGAGCTCTTTTTATGGTCCGAACGGTCACTTCTGCTTGTCCATTTGACTGGGGATGAGCTGGTGCAGAGAAGTGTTTTTTATACCTAGATTGACACAAAATCCTTTGAACCTTGAGTTGTCAAACTATTTTTCGTTATCTAAGACCAATGCCCTTAGGATTCTAAATCTGTAGATTATGGATTTTCAAGTGAAACTCTTGATTTTCTACTCTGTGATCTTCGCAAGAGGTTCCACCTCAACCCACATGGTAAACTAATATACTCCCTATTATAACAAATTTGCATTGTCCCGTGCTTGTTGGAAGAGGGCCAAGTGTGTCGAAATCCCACTAGTGGAATGGCCATGGGCTAATCATCGAGATGAGGAGCTCTGACGGGCAGTGTGTAACATTGGCATGCACTTGATAGGTTTTGCACTTCTTAACCATATCTACTGCGTCTCTGAGCATGGTGAGCCAAAATTATCCCTGCCTTAGAACTTTACTAGCCAAAGCTCGAGCTCCGATGTGATTGTCGCAGATGCTTTCATGGATTTTCCTTAAGATGTAGTTTGCCTCTTCGATGTCAACACACCTCAAGAGTGGTGATAAAAAGCCTCTTTTGTACAAATTCCCCTGGACTGGAGGATGTTGAATCGAGAAGATCTGGCTCTTAGCCATTCTGCTTCTTTGGAATCTGTTGGAAGGGTTTCATCTTGTAGGTAGTCCTTAATTGGGTTCATCCAAATCGGTTGATTCTGAATAAGAAATACCTCCTCGAAATTAGAGCTTACTGATGGTTCTGTTAAGAGCTCAACTGGAAGAGCCTATCCAAGCTTTGTTGGGAAGTAGTGGCTAGCTTGGATAAGGCATCGACTTGGGAATTTTCAGCCTTGGTGACATGCACGACCTTAACCTGCACAAACTTTCTCATTAGCTCTTGTACCTTTTTCAAATATAGAGTCATTCTTTCTCCCTTAGCCTCATATATCTCCATGATTTGTTTCACCACCATCTGGGAGTCACTGTGAATCACGAGCTGCTCTACTTCCATGGAATGTACCATGTTGAGCCAAGCGATAGTGGTTTCGTACTTAGCCTCGTTGTTTGAAGCTTTGAAACTCAATCTGAGGGTGTATTCAATGTCTATCCCATCTAGGGAGGTTAGGATTAGTCCAGCATTGCTGCCGTGGGTGTTGGCATCATCATCTATAGAAAGTTTCCATGTAGGGAAGTCGGTTATCAGCTGGGTTATTTCTAGTGATGCTTCTTGACCTGTTGTGAATTCTGCAATGAAATTTAGCAAAATATTTCCTTTGATAGCAGTTCTGGGCATGTACCTGATGTCAAACTCGTTGAGCTCTATTGCCCATTTGACTAGCCTTCTTGACGATTCTAGCTTGTGCAAGACCTGCTTCATTAGTTAGTTTGGAGGGACTTCTATCGTGTGAGCCTTGAAGTAAGGTCTGAGTCTTCTCGCAACTATCACCAAAGCTAAGACTAACTTCTCCATTTTCGGATACCTATCCCTTGCTCCCCTTAGAGCTGTGCTGCAGTAGTAGACTAGTTATTGAGCTCTGTCTTGCTCCCTAACTAGTGCTACACGGGTCGAGAAATCTGAGACAACAAGGTATAAGGTGATTATCTCTCCCTCTGTGCGGCTCACGAGAATTAGGAGTGAGCTGAGGTAATTCTTGAGGGCTTTGATTGCCTCCCCGCAATGCGCATTCCACTTGAATGCTTTTTTCAAGACTTTTTAAGAATGATTGACATTTATCTCTTGACCTGGAAACAAAACGAATTAAAGCTGCTATCCTCCCTATTAGCCGTTGAACGTCTCTCGTGTTTGAGGGCGGTTGCATGTCAATTACAGCTCTGGCATTCTCTAGGTTACCCTTTATACCTCGGTTATTGACTATAAAACCTAGAAAATTTTTGGTAGAGACCCCAAAGACGCATTTTACTGGGTTAAGCTTCATTTGATACTTGTTAAGGATCTGAAAAGACTCCTTGAGGTGGCTGATATGGAACTTTCAATGATTTCACCAGCATGTCATCTATGTACGCCTCTATTGATGTCCCGATTTGCTCTGAAAGCTACGATTCACCAATCGCTGGTATGTGGCCTCAGCGTTTTTTAATCCGAACGGCAAGACCTGGTAGCAGTATGTCTCCTTCTCGGTTATGAAGGATGTCTTCCCCTGATCATTTAGGTCCATCCAAATTTGCTTGTACCCTGAGAAGGCATCTATGTCTTCTCGAGATCATTTCTTAACCTTTAAGTTAAAAGCAAAGGTAGAATTGAAACAATTTAATGCATTAACAAATTTACAATCTTACAACATTCACACTATGGAAAAAGGCAAGATAGTCTCTTATTATATCAATAAGGTAAGATGGACGAAACATATAATTATTTTGGAAGTGACATCAACAATTCTATAGTTGTGTTTTGTATTTGAGACACTCATTGGCCAGCAAAAATATCAACATCATTGAAGTGTATGGTTAATTGGGTAAAATAAGGCATATGATATGGTGATTTTTCACGTGGCATTCAAATTTTTTCGGATACTTTTTTTCTCTAGGTTCCTCTTTGGTAGATTACTCACTCATATAGGAGTGAGAAACCCACTTATGTATAATGGGTCCTTCTCAAATTAAGAGTAAGTGATCTACGAAATAGGAAAACCGAAACAAAATTTGTTATAGAAGATCTCACTCCTCCACAGGCCACCTTAAAAGTGACAAGGATATATTTGTTATTTGTTAAAGGTCTAGAGTTTTGTATTATACTTTGAAACTTATATGATTATCAAGATATTTACACAAAACCTTGGGCCAAAGGGTAAGGACGAGTTGGGCCAAAGGGTTGCCACAAATACTCTAAGCCGGCAGATTCAACTCCTTTTTCTTCAAATTGAGCACACTTTTGTGCATGGATGTTCATCCAAGTTTGAGCCGCATGAAATACACAATTTTTCGAGCTCTCAAGATGTATATAGTTATTCTAGTCTTTCGCAAAGAGACGAGATTATTCTCACCTCAAAAATATTCATTCTCACCCCATTAAATATTCTAACATAAAATTAATAGATTTATAGTCACATCCCACATACACCTTTTTAAATAAACCCACCTATTAAAAGTCCTCTCACAGTGGAGGGTTTTTCTCTCTGTTTTCCCAAAGAGTCTACGTCTTCCTACTAGAAGTCGTGATAATATATCAAAGAGTAAATGTCATAGTTGGTTCTTCCATTTTAGCTATGGTTTTAATTTGATTCATGAACTTTTCATTGTCTGAATTTAGTCCCCCAACTATAATTTTTGTCTCAATTAAGTCATTTTGTCCATTTCCACTATTGAATCAACGCCGAAATGAATCAGATTGGTCCAACCTTCGATTGATCTAATGGTGTAAATATATGGTAGAACTTAATTTAGATGAACTAAATTGGGACAATTAAAAGTTCAGCAATCAAATTAAAGCCAAAACCTAAGTTTAGAGACGAATTATGATATTTCCCTTATATCAAACTTCTAGTGCACTCTGAGGAACCTATTTTTTGTGTTAATGGCAGTTAAATTATGAATCTCAAAGGCTAAGTATATGATCAGTGTGTGCAAAGTTGAATGCATATATAATGAGAAGAAATCTTTAGATACAAAGTGTCCATGGTTTGGTATAAGAATTTTATTAATTACCGTAAATAGACTTTTAGTTAGAGGAACGGGCTGTGACAGTGTTCGATAGAGTTTATGTACCTGTCAATCTATAGAATACTAAAATTATAGGCAAGTTTTGAGTACTCTAAATTCTTTCAAGTCTTTGTACTTTAAATTCTTTCAAGCCCACTTTTAATCAAACATATATATTCGATTAAGTCTTTGTATTAGCTTCTTAAATTAAGTATGAATAATATTTTCGTTTTACCCCCTCTTGTTCATAGTGGCTTGACTTATATAGTTCTTCAACATGAGTGTTGAACTCGAATCAAAATCTACCACAATCCAAAATGAATCGAAGGTTTGTACCATACTGAAAAAAAGATATAACTGCAATTCAATTATGCCAAATTACAACTCGTTTGGATCAAAATTAAGACTCAATTCAGTTTAAAAAATCCAAGATCGGTGCTAATGGGTTACTATTGATTCACAATGTTGCAAGCAATTCTAATCAACATCATTGAGTCATAACCTGAATCGTTTGAATCGTAGTTTGACCCAATTAAATCTTAACTTGTGACACAAGAAGAAAAAGTTGCGTTTGATTCGGTAGGCTTTCCCTATGTATGGCGGTTTTTCTTTTTTTTTTTGCTGTGTCCTAAGTATGGATGATCATAGAGAAAGGATCGGGGTAATTTAATGACACCCGATGGATTTTTATGTTCTCCTGGGTCTGGCTCACCATCCCCATGGACTGAAACAAGGCTTTCGGTGTAGGTATGAAGGTCTAGGCAACGAAAACTATGGGCTAAGATTTGGAGATCCATAATAACAAGTTGGGTATTAGGATCATACAAGACCAGGTGGCCAGTTGTAGTTTCAAGAAAGACCTCATCATTCTTCCACAGCCCAGCTGGAATCATCATTCCATCTAGCGGTCCGATACTTAATTGCTTGATCCAACATCCCATTCTGTCCTCCTCCTCCATCAGTACCCACACGGTAACTGATGACTGCTCAGCTGAGTCCCAGGCATCTAGTGGCACTCGTGAATGAGAATAAATCAGCGCAATAGAGCCATTGTACAACGTAAGAATCTCGCATTCTGAGTCTTGGTGAAGATCAGGTGGCCCTTGAATCTCTTTGAACTCCTCTTTCCCCATGTCAAACGAAACCAGCTTTCTATATACAGATTTAGACCACCAGTAATAAACACCATTCAAGTAGGAATCGAAGCAAGAATCTATCAAAAAACGTAGACAATCGGGAGCATCACCCTTGAAATCTTTCCATGAATCTGTGCTCAAAGTGTACACAGCAACATGTATGGGATCCATCAATGGGCCCCATTTATCGGTGTTCCTGTCATCAAAAGTCCGAATCCAAACTACCTTGTAATCATCACTGGTGGGATCTAACCCGAATCCAAAGCCGCAGTGACGAGGGAACCAATCACGCGGAAACAATTTCGTGCGCAACAATGGCAGAGACCTAAATGCTCTTGTCGCGGGATTCCACAGAGCAATGCGTTTACTTTTGTCACATAAGCAAAAAACACCATTAATAGGACCACCAAGCCGATTAAATACGGGGAAGGATATGCCCATATTGTGATATGTGGGCACTGTAAGCGTTTTGTCCGGGAACAAGACGATGTCCCCCATGTCCCTAAGCTCATTGTGATAGTATACCACCAGACGGGCATTGTCCTTGTTTTCGTTGTTGTGTTGTAAATGAACGGAAATGAAAGCGGGACTATCAATCAGATTTTTCCAAAATTTGCAGACACACCTGAATTGCAGCAGAGATTTCACAGACATTCTTGACAATATCTCGATCAACACATCTTCGGCCAAATACCCACCTTTGCTCTCCATTTGGCCCATTTGACTGTATGAGTAAGATGGGTCTTCTCTTCTGTGTATGAGAGAGAGAGAGGCCTCTGGAATTCACCAAGGAGCTAGAGAGAAAGGTTTTTTTTTTTTTTTTGTGAGTGTTTTTTTATGTCTCGAACAGCTGCTAATTACTTAATAAATAGAAATTTGTTCCTTCCTTAACTCCTAAGCAACGAATTAATGCATTCACACTGAACACATTTACAGCATTGATTGACATTTAAGTTCCAAGCCAAAGTTATAATTGGACCGAATTAATGCATTCACATTAAATCGAGAAGAAAATATGGACTAGTCCTATTATTTATGGTAATGCCATTGACGATCCTATAGTTGTGTTTTCTATCTGAGACACTCCCTGGACAACTACAATATCGATATTAGCAAAATAAAACTTTTAAAATCCAGATATTTGTTAGCATTTTCCTTAATCATTGAAGTGTATGATTAATTGGGTAAAATAAAGCGTATGATATGGTATTTTTTACATGGTATCCGATTCACTTCTAATATTTTTTGTCTCTAATTTTTTGCTTTGATAGATTGGACTTTTTCAAATGTCCTTTAGAGTCTTATTGTATGATTATTGGCTTTCCATAGAACTACAACTATGTTTTGGCATATTTTGATTGTTTTCACTCATCATGCCTCACTAACGAAAAGAACTTGAATATTCTCAAGATAAATCATAATTATTATCACTATATATACTATAAGGTGGTGTAGTAGATTATTCCAGAGGCATAACCTTTTGTAAAATGAACAAATTTTTCATGGTAATTGGATTCAAAACCTAATACACCTATCCTTCGAATCATAATTTATAAGTTGATTGGAGTTCATATTTCTTAATTGTACTTGTAAATATGATTATACTTGTTTCTTATTTGGTAAATTAGTGGGGTGTGTTTTAATCAAAGGGTGCCACGGGGCACAGTGGCAGCATTTGGCTTTCTGATTATTGAAAACTCAAGGAAGAAATTTTGTAAAGGAGGGACTTTATAATTACCCTGTTCCTATAAGTAAAGCATCAATTAGTGCGGGATTTAAATTTTAATTAGGTGCATGGAACACAACTTGTAACATTTAATTGAAGACAATACCATTATGAAAAACTGTATTTGTAATTCCCTAGCCCAAGGGTGGCTCTGCCCTGTCTCTGTCAGACGTCGGTTGCCTTTTGTGTCCTGGCATTACACAACTATCACTGTAATACTTTATTAGATAATGAGTTTTTGTTAACAAATCCTTACCGTAATTTTTGCATTTACTCATTATCCTCTTCTAATTTTATTCACTTTATCCAAAATTTAATCGGAAAATCTCATAACTTTACATAGAAAACTTATTCCTTCTTCAAGCTCTCCACTGCTAGAGGATCTCCACCCCCTCCCTCATACCAGGTAATTGCCACGTATGATCCAATAACTAGTTCAATTTTTTTTGATTGGTTCGCTTCTGTTAGTTTTTATTTTGGATTTTGCTTATTATATACTATTTTACGGATGAAATTATTGGGAGAATAGAATTATGAAATCCATCTGGAAAGCAAATATTGAATAAATATGATTTACGCTGACATTTTCTTTTTTGTGAATTCGTCTTTGAATCGGATCATTTTCAATTTAATTGTTGCAACAATGGTGGAGAATTGAGTATAAACAACAAAAAACCTGTGATATGCACTGCTGTTGTGCACTTGTACTGAAACTAGAGTCCATGCTCTGTTCAGATGCTTCCTTGCATGTGTATCAATTATTTGTATCCCTCAAAGTGCTGCACACCTCATATAGTCACTTGTGGATTATTCAAGAGTTGCAAACACAATAATATGAAAAGAAGAAGAGAAGAAGGGGGGGGTGGGGTAGCCATATAAGGTGTCTCCATGTGACTATACTTGTAGTAAAGATGATTAACTGCTACTGTAGTAAAGATGACTACACATATTTACCCTTAGAATTGATGCAAACACAGGCTTTATTAATCTCATGGAGTATGTTGTATCAGCAAATCATAGTTTATCATGGCTCTATATGTTGCCAATATAGCATAGTTCTATGCCGGATTGTAT